TAAAAAAAGAAGGTATATCAGTACCAATAGAATATAATTTAATAATATTATATAGTATATTAGGTATGATTACATTATTATCAAGTAATGATTTAATATCTGTATTTTTAAGTATAGAATTACAAAGCTTTCCATTATATATATTAGCTTCTTTCTATAAATGAAATAAAAATGGATTAATAAATGGATTAGATATAAATAGGGATAATCAATCATCAATAGCTGCTGGATTAAAATATTTATATTTAGGTGCATTATCATCTAGTTTATTATTATTAGGTAGTGCTATAATATATGGTTATACAGGATTTACAAATTTAAGTGATATAGCATTATTTATGGGTGTAGGTATAGAAAATGAATATATATATACTAATATATCAGGAAATATATCATATTTATTAATATCAGGATTTATGTTAATAGGTACTGCATTATTATTTAAAATTGGAGCAGTACCATTTCATAACTGAGCTCCTGATGTTTATGATGGTGTTCCTACTATTGTAACTTCTTGAATAGCTATAATGCCTAAAATATCTATTATTATATTTATAGCTATTATATATTTAGGTTTAGGTAATTATATATATATTGGTTGAAATTTATTATTTATATTTTCTTCATTTGGTTCATTACTTATTGGTAGTTTATTAGGATTAGTTCAATATAGAATTAAACGATTATTAAGTTATAGTTCAATTTCACATATTGGATTTATTTTATTAAATTTAAGTATTATTCCTATAAATGGTATAGGTTCTACATATTTATATATAATAGTATATGCTATTACATCTATAAATATATTTTATATAATTATGAGTTTTAATAAATATACAAATATAGAAACTATTTCTCAATTAAAAGGTCAAATTATTCAAAATCCAGTATTATCTTATATATTTACTATTTGTATATTTTCTTTAGCAGGTATCCCTCCATTTATTGGTTTTTTTGCTAAATTATATATATTATTAGATGCTATAGATAATTCTATGTATTTTTTATCATTTATAGCTATTATAAGTAGTGTTATAGGTGGTAGTGTATATTTAAGATTAATAAAAATTATAAATTTTGATGAATATTTAAATATTTATTCTAATGATAATAAATCATATGCTATTAAATTAAATGAAAGTTATAGTAGTATTATTTCTATTTTAACTTTAATTATTGTAACATATGTATTATATCCTCAACCTATATTTTTTTTTATTAATCAATTATATATTTAATTCCTTTATACACTCTTAGCTCAATAGGTTTAGAGCATTAATCTTCGAAATTAAAAGTTATGGGTTCAAATCCCATAGAGTGTTATAAATATTAAAAATAAGGCGAATATAATTTAATGGTAAAATAACAATTTGTGGCTTTGTCTATATGGGTTCGATTCCCATTATTCGCCTATATATTATATATTTATGTTAATTCCATAAAAATAAAGATTAAAATATTAATATATTATTAATATATAATAAATGTATATAATACTTTTAATTTATTTACATTTATATATATAATATTTTATAATCTATATTAATTTACTTATATTTTTAATAAAAAAAATAAGTAAAATAAAATTTTTTTAACACATTACATAAAATATAATTTATTTATAGTGTTTATTATCTCACTTATAAACATGTTTTACATATCTCTTTTTGTATATAATTATATATTAAATAATTTCATATTAAATAATATATTATTTAATATAGAATATTATTAGAATTTATTCACAAGTTTTCAATTATTTTAGAAGGTATTATAATAAGAATATAGTTATTTTATAAATTAATAAATAAAACACTAATAAATTTATACATATACCATCTATACACATAAAAAACATTAAACCAATATTTCACATTAAATAATATTTTTTAAATTTTTAACGCATTTTCAAAATACTTACTAACGATGGATAATTACTTTCAATATTTAAATATTATATAATAACCAAACAAAGTACCTAATATATTCATAATAACAATAAAACTATAAATATCATAATATGTAAAAAGCACTTTCTTGTAAAAGTGTTAAACTATTAAGAAAATTATAATATTTATCAATATAATAATTAGGAATATACTCTTCACTATTTACATTAAACACATCTAAAATATTCTTCAATTCTTCAACATTATCCTTAATTCTAATTAAAATATCTTTATCTATACTAAACACACCTTCATTTAAATTATCATTAATTATACTATTTAATATTTTACTACTATAATAATATACTGTTATTCCACTTAAAAATATACTAAAGTTTTTTAATTTGTTTCATAAATTAATATTCATTTTTATATATAAAATTATATTATATAATATAATGCCACAATTTATACCATTTTATATAATTTATATATATAAGTTTTTATATATTTTTTTTTTCAATTAATATTCTAAATAATATAATTTATTATATATATTATAAACAAATAATTTAGATTTGAATATTTATATAACATTTAAATATAATAAATAAAATTATTATTTTTTTTTATTTTTAAATTGAACCTAATAAATAAAAAAAAAGACTAGTTAATAAAGATAATCAAATTAAAAAAATAATAATTAATGAAGCATATTCATTACCTTTTTTATAATAGGAAAAAAAATTTAGTAAAAAAGGTTTATTTTTAAAAAATTCTATTTTATCAATAGATATTAATTTTAATACTTGACTAATAAAAAGATTACTTACACCTATTATACATAAAATAATATATATTATAACAATAATAATCATAGATTCTATAAAATCTAATTGATTTAAATAATTTAATATTTCATCATAATTAAAAAATCCAGACTCTTTAAAATTATCTAAATAATAACTATTTGACGGAGATGGTGGTCTATTATTATCTATATTATTAGGTATATTAGTTTTATTTAAATTAGTAATATATTGAGTACCAAATATTGTAGCAGCTGTATAACCACCAGCTAAAGCACCAGCAGATAATTTTTGAGTTGGTGAACCTCCTACCAATTTCATAGCTTTTGCTATACCAAATGGAACAGCTCCACCACTAGCTGTTGGTATAAATTTTTCTATACCCTTACCTAAGACTTTTAAACCTTCACCTATAACAGTCGCTCCATCATTATTAATAGTATGTTCTAATTCTATTTTAGCTTTAGGTAATTCTAATTTATTTAATAATGATAAATTATCTTCAGATGATTTTTTTTCATCTGAAGTATTACTTTCTAAAGCATAAATAGTAGGTATAGGAATATAAGAAAAAATAATATTAATAATTAATAAAATAAATCTATAACTTTATGATAAGTAATAAAACCTATTAAACTTAAAATAAATATAATTAAAAAAAAATAGAAAATTTATATGTATTTATAAAATTATTATTTTTTATACTCTGTAAATAAAAATTCAACTTATTAAATG